CGCGACGCGTCGCGTCACGGCGTTGGCAACGGGAATGGAAACGAGTCGGCTCCCAGGTCATCTCCACGAATAACGCACCGAACGTTTCTTTCTTTATTAATGTCTATCGTTCATCTCTAACTGAACTTCTGTCGAGTTAATTACATTCGGAAAATAAATTACACGGTATGATTACGATTGAGCATTTACGATATAACAACACGTGGTGGTCATATGGACATGGACTGATATCGTAAATACAAGCCACAATAGGATTCCTAATACGTGTTTATCTTTCCGATAAAGTATTTCATTGTAGCGTATCAATTACGACGTTTGCGCCGCGGTAGGCGCATAAAACGGATTAAATCGACGGATCTTATCGAATAGGGGTAACATAGAAAACTGTTATAACAAGTTTTGATATTTCAAACAGGATACATCTGTTAACCCTTAACCTTAGAAGAAGCATATATATATATATATATGTATATATATATTACACACAAAAAGCGTAAGAATGCTTTCACGAAGAAGAGACGAACGCAATTTGCTATGAAATTCGATGCTAATGATAGATTGTCGTGCACGCGCAATCTTGCCCCTTTTTGAACGCACGGAAGAAAAGAAAAGTTTTGCACGACCTAATTTTAAAGCTTTTGAAAGTTCGGTAGAGGGTCAATTATAAATACCGCCTTGCTTAGTGCTTTAGTCGGTTGAATGTTAAAGTTGTCCAGTCTTTCACGCTTTTCACGCTTTTCGAGCATCGTTTGCTCCGTTTCAAGCAAAAAAGCTCGACCAGAGTCTATTATGCATAGAAGAATCTTGGGATCGAGCAGGAGAGTAGTAGAGGTTATCGAAATTACCGTGCGTTAAAGAGACACGCGGTACAACGGTATCGGCACACAGTGAAAAGAAAAACAATTACTCAACGACCTACGCGGTAACGTAACTGAAAACGATGGGAACTACCCGTCTGATATTTTCTGCGATTAAACATCCATAAATAGCAATTAGTTTATTGGCGAGTTTGAGACTTTGTAAACTTTGAATGATTCGGTAATGCGTTTATCTTGTCTCGTTCAACCTACTCGCTATATTATTATTATTCATAGCTATAATAATCGATCATTAACCGGATCGGTGAGTTTATACGCGCTTGGTTAAACGTTGATCACGGAGTAAAAAGGTGAACAACTGCGAACCAACATCCGTTACCGTGATCGAGGGGAAAATCTTTTGTTTAGCGAACGTGATTTTAATCACAAGGTTAATAATTAATTAGGTTGTCTGAAATGTTTCGATGAAAAGACCACTTGAAACTATGCCAAGCTCGATTATGTGACGCGTCATTTAATTTAACATAGATTGATAATGAATCATAAAGAGAAGTGAAACGGTCGAGCGGTATCCGCATTTAGTGTTCTACGAATACGGGGAAAGCCGGGGATTCATTGAAAGGTTAATATGCTATGCTGTACTATGGTTTAACGGGTTGTTTACATGTTAAAGCACGTAACGCCTACGCGCTCGTCCAGTTTCTTATCATGGGAAAAACCAATCTGCTTATGTACGTAACAATTGAGCATTCATGCACTGCATCTCTTTCGCTATGAAAACGGATTATGCATAGCAGAAACAGGGGGGAAGAAGGGAGGCGAAGAGGACAGACTATAAAGAAATTAAATACATAGGATAAAATATGATGGCTATAAATGACCAAAGAAACGAGAAGGAGGTGAAAAATATCATTGGTATTGATTAGTTGGAGAAATATAATCGACAGAGAGCTGGGTAATATGCAATATCGTTGCGGTGTCACCGTGTTATTTATTCTTGGCATGTCCTCGGCAAGCACCAACTCCCCTCCTGTGTAGAGCGTAGATAATGGGAAATTTGTGGAAACGAGAGGAGCAAAGGGTAGTTGTATTTTTAATATCGATATCGCACACGATACGCTCTTTCTCGCCTCGTCAATATATTAATATGATCTCTGTATTCGATTGACAATTTAATACAATTACGAGACTCATTGATGAATACGAGTGTGATGTGAGAGGTCAAACAGGCAAAAATTGATAAAACGGTTCTCTATTTGAATAAACATCTTTCTTTCAAAGGTAACTTAGCATGGAGCGAAAGGACGTAATTCTAACAGCAGTTTTTGGAACAGTGGGAGGTCTAGCGATATTGGTGGTTTTTGGTATGGCAGCGTGGCTTTATCTTCGAACGAAAAGATCGAAACGGCGGGACAATGATCTCGAACCACAGAGCGAACACGGGGATAGTTTCAACGATAACCGACATGGAAAACCAGCTAAGAGAAATGGTCTTTTAAATCTCAGGACACCTTTAATCAGTACAAAATCTTTCGGGTAAGCTCAAACGTCAATTTGGTTTTACACTCTGTTTGTCCGATCAAATATAACCGTACCTTTCTCGAACGAAAACTGTAAAGATGTATGTAATAATTTGGCAAACGAATAACCGATAATATAATACCGCAGTTATATTCCTAATAAAACTGTGTAAATGGGAAGAGAAACATTAAGAGAAGTGATGTGAGGTGAGAGTAGGAAAGAGAGTACATACATATGTACAAACATATGTACGTATATATTAGTCAATTGAAACATACGAATGAAAATGGATAAACGTTGAAAGCACCGGTTGGTAAAGAAGTATCCATTACTTGTTACCGACTGAGAAATAATTTGATTATAGAGACCGACTAGGGACAGGTCATTGTGACCGACGAGACGTCTATGCACAATGTATACTCCTCTGTGACTTGACCATTTGACCGATCACTTGGCCATTGTCGAAAAATGCCGATTTTACCGACAATAGAGAAATTCGCGTTTCGAATATCGTTTTATTACGCGGCTCGGGCACTGACAAGGTACAGGTATCTTTCGACAGTGGTTCGAGGTCGAACGATCGATTAATTTTCGTTAACGTACAAAACTAATGCATAAATATATAACAATAATAATAATAATAAAAATAATAATAATCATAATAACAATAATAAAAATAACAACAACAACAATGATAATGATAATGATAATAATGTACAAACTTACTTTTTCTTTCCGTGTCTCTGTAATCGATTCTCGGATGTTCCAATATTTTACACAATTATAAGAAGAAGAGCATCTTTGCATGCGCACTTATAATGTAATGTCTGTTCGTTCTAGATGATTTTTTTCGTTTTGTATCTTCATTTCCACTATTATAGATGTACATCAAAGGGCATATTGCTCGCTTAAATAAATAAGTAAATAAATAAATAAATAGAACTAAATTATTTCGGTCGCGGCCGAACATAGATGCGCGTACGTTTCGGCGAATCACTGTATCCACAAAAGCATTATTTCCAACATAAAAATTGCATAAACAATTTGTAAATAAATTTAGTTCACGAATTTGTATTGCATACTACGTCGTGGATATCTTTTCATTTCTGTCAACTGTCTACGAAAAAAGAAAAATGAAAGGGAAAACACTGGATATAAAGTAATGTGTATAAACATGTATCAAGTCGCGATCGAAATTGTTCGTCGAATCGATCGCTTAAATCTCATATTGGTTTGCTATTGTCGCTTGCAGGAACGATCAAGTGTTTACTTCGAAATCGAGTATCGAAACTCGTGAACTTGATCGGCCGAGAAACTACGAAAAAGTTGCAAACGATGATAAAGTGAAGGAGATAGAGCGCTATAAATTCCGTAATTCCCAACAAGGTGCCAATTGGAAACCTGCCAGGTAGTCTGGTGTTTCGCAGCACTTAAATCGGCGGAATGCAACAGATATGCCACTTGTTACGTTGCATACTTCATACATACATACATAGCTACTGTCTTCTATCGAGATTCGTATAACAATTACAGTTCGTTACGATCTTTACTTATTTGTGCCGATCGAAAGCTAATCGAACCGCGATACACGTATTTCCGAAATCGTTTGGTTCTTATTAAAACATTCCGTTGCACAAAAATCCACGTTACTCGTCGCAATTCCTCGTGATATAAAACGGATAAAGGAAAATGGAGACCTTGTGCTAGTATTGTTAGTAGTTAAATATTCGGTAACAACATACGACATAGATAAATTAAGATAAGATAAAACTAATTTATGTTGTAACGTTACAAAACAATTCTATCTTTCGTATCACCTGTTTCAAAGCATACTACATAAATACATATATGTACTGGTAAATCTCCGTATTAGTTTAAACGTTTCGAAAGAGATGGCGATTGCTCGTAATCATTGTGTCGAACGGATATATCAATCGCAAACTTTTATCGAAAGAAATGAAATTTTGAAAAGAGGAAAAAGGAGAAACGAAAAATATAAATCGCGACTACTGAATGGCGTAATTGAATCATCGATCGTCGATCGTAGATCGTTAATCATCGATGTAGGAAGTAGGAAAAATAGGATAATGGAAAGGTTATTAGATTTACGAAGGTTTAAGAGAGAAAAGTAAAAGTAAGGTAAAAAATGTAAATCGTAAACGGCATGGAGAGTAGAAGGTAGATGATGAACAAAAGCTATCCGTAGGATGAGATGAGACGAAACGAAAGAAGAACGGCTAACGTGCTTGAAAGGATGATACGAGAAAAGAAGCGCGCGCGACAGTTGACATGTGGTAGGGACATGGAGAAATAAGCGACGAAGCAAGGACATACGTCGAGTGATGTACATACTGTATGTATATAGCATAGTTTACATAGTATAGCACCGGTCGGTAAAGAATAGTCGGTAGGAGAAGCGGCAGGCAGGGCAGAACAGGATAGAATGGGAGATGCGCCGTGGAAGGAAGCAGTACGATGGAGAGAGGGACAGATAGTAATAGTGATAGTAATGTATATGCACGTAAGTATGTATGTATGTATAAGCGATCCTGGGAAAAGAGTCGGAGGGGAAGCAAAGGTCCAGGAAGAGTCGAGTCTAGGGAGTGTGGATCGTGGTGCGGAAAGGAGGCGGGAAAGATCGGAGTGGGACTTGGGGTGGTAGAAACGAAACGGGTGGAACGAGGGCAGTGGTAGGAATGGGGAAAGAAGGTGAGGGGAGGGGAAGGCAGGAAGGACCTAGTGGGGGTTGGTCATAGGGGTAACGGTAGGATTCCGGGGGTTGAAAGCAGCTGAGAGCAGTGTACGAGTAGGTCATACCACAGCGGAGAAAGGTAGTTCGCGTTTAGCAAACGGCTCGTCCGTTTCAGTTGGACGAAACGTATACTAGTCGTTGGACCGGTTCTCTACATTTTTCGTATTCGTATCATCCTTCGAGAATTTCTCGCCTCTGATATCGATTATCATTTATCCTTGTTGGTGTTACTATCGTCGCTATCGACGTTGTCGTGAATATCATCATCGTCGTTGTCGTCGTCGTCGTCGTCGTCCTTGTCCTTGTTATCGTCGTCCTTGTCCTTGTTTCCTGGAGGACGTAATCGAGGATCGAAGGAAATGGATGCTCATATTGAAGAGCAATGGCTGAACATCTTTACAGTATGACGAAAAATCGAGAGTGACTTAATTAAAAGTACGAGTCACAGTGCGTCGATTTTCACTGGTTTTCAAAACGATCTGGTATTTCGTTAAAAAGGGCGTTAAATCGGTTCTTCGTTTTCAAAACAAGAAGTTGCGTGTCGCTCAAATTTTCGAAGAATTTTCTTTCCGTAATTGGCTAATTACGCGAACAATCTTTTTTTCTTTCTACTACCATCCTCTATCCACACCCCCTCCTCTCCTCTTTCTCTTTATTCTTCTCCTCTTTCTCCACCTCCGCCACCTTCTCCCCTTTCCCATATCATCCTGTTGGGTTCGTCGAAAACTAGACGGGTGTATATCGTGCTTTCACCACGCAACCCTTGCATTCGATCGGCCGACTTTCGGTCTAAGTGATCGAATTTATTTAACTCTTTAGATCGGATTGGATCGGATCGGATCGGGTCGTAGTGAAATCAAAGTGGTTGTCACGTCGGACGGCAAACGAATCGACGAACGGAAACATTCGATCGGTGTATTTGCGGATTTTTTTTGAAAACCAGTGAATAAATAGTTTTACGTTCAAACCTTCTTTAATTCGAAAGACAGCGCGAGAAAGAAGAGGAAACGAGCAGCGAAAAGAAGAGAAAGGGAGGAGGATAGAAACGAAAGGGAAAAGCGAAGGAGAAGCAGAGACGAGCATAGAGAAGAAAAGCGGGTGGAGAGAAAAGTTAAAAAAAAGAAAATGAGAAAAGTTTGAAAAATTACAAAGTTGTGTTGGCAGAAAGAAAAAGTTTTCTTTTTCGTCTCTTTACGGGCAAACTGATCATATTCCTTGGGCACTTGTAACGCGTTGACTATAACTACAACGTTGTTGAATCGCAAAAGTGACGATCATTAGTCGTTGTATGTATTTATTAATCTATTCGTCGAGCGTTGCCGCTGGACGACACAAAGCGTTTTTCGAATCAAGAATATCGAAGAGTTAAAGGTGAATTCTTTGACTACTTCGAATGTGACGCGACGGTTAGTCTTAATCCTACATATCGTGGGTGAATCGGTCGTTGGAAGGGCACGTAGCGCGTCTCGATCAAGTATTCATTTCTATCCGGAACGAACAACGTTTGTACGCGATTTACTCGTAAATTACTAAGAAATTGATTTTCAGTTTTCCTGTTTCTTTTTCGAAAAGAACACAAACGATCGTGCTAAAAGATAAAATCGAAAAGAAAAGAAAATAAAAGAGAAGAATCTCGAGAGTTAGTCATTGTTGTCATCGTCGAGAAGTAGAAGACTTTAACTATCGTGACCGTAACGCGTAAAAGGACCGGACACGGCAGTTTTTGACGACTGTCTGACGACGACCGACGACCGACAAACCACGAACGACGACAAATCATCAACGTCTTTTCAGGAAAAGAACCAAAGAAGAAGGGGGACAGGACGAGTGAAAGCGCGGCGGGAGGGGGGTAAACAGAAAGTTGACGAGAAGCGTGTAAGAGAAAGATAAAACGATAAGGAGGAAGAGAAAGAATAAATAGAGGGAGAGAGAGAGAGAGAGAGAGAGAGAAAGAGAGCGGTTGGTAAAGGGTGGAGAAGAAAGCGAAAACTGTTTCCATTATACATGAAACTGTTTCGTCGACGAGATTGGTGACGATCGTGTTGGAAAGAAAGGAGATTGAGATACGAGATCGTTGATGAAGAAGAAATTAGGCTCGAATCATGCGACGCTGCGATTCGACGAGAAATACGTTGAAAATTGGATTAATTGGCATCGAGGTAAAAGAGAGGGGTAAAGTAAATAATCAGCGTTCAGTCAGCAAGGAGGACTTGTAACGCTGTTTACATTTTCTCGCCTCGCCTCGCCTCGTCTTTCGACGATTTGTATGTGTGCTTGGAACAAAATTGACGAAATAGCCTAGTTGTTATTTCGATAGTTCGTATAGCAAACACGACCAGCTTCGAAACACAGAGAATTATAGTGATCGATACGATACGGTGAACGTACAATACGATATCGTGATATTATTATATCAGTCAGCCTCTGAATTGGGATCGAGGGATTTTCGTTGGACGCGTTTCGATTCGACGAATAGGAGGAACACGTTGGTTGGTTGGGACGTCGAAGGAGCTCGTTACTCGATAAATTGGAATCAGTCAAGAACGAACACGGGAAATTGTTTCGCTTCTAGTTTGGTTAAGCGAACGATCGAATATGGAAATCGCAGCCTCTGCAATGTTGGATGGCCTGAAAAACAATCGAATCAGCAAGTTGGCACTGTCGCGGTTCTTGTCGCAGAGTCTGTGAGTAAATTAACTCGGCCGTTCGTCGAGCACGTAATCGATTCGACGTGGTACGAGTAACCAGGATGCTAGAAAGCATCGGCACGTAGCGCGCGCACTAATTAATTGCTTGGCTTTTTTATGCTTCTGTCGCGTTTCATCGCCATCTAGGCAATTAGTATCACACAAACCTACGCATTCAAGTCCGTTTTGGTAGTTTATCGCGCGCGCACTTGCTTGTCGCTGCTTCCATCCGAGATTGTCCGTCCGATTCCTCATTGTCCGATACTGATTATCCACGCTACGCGGTTGAGTCGCTGCCGTTTTCGCGATGGACGCGCGCGGTTATGGCCGATTATGGCCGATTATGGCCCATTATGGCCGCTTGCACTCACTATCTTCTACTCTTTTCGTCCTTTTCCTTTTTTACCCCTTCTGCTTTCGCAGTCGCGCGAAGTTCGCGCGGTTTTCAAACCATTTCTCTTTTCATCAACAATTTCTCGAAGCATGCGAATCGTTTCAACGAAACGTACCCCTATAAATATCTATAACTATGTATATATACTTATAAAGGAACGAATTTCCAACTTCGCTTATCCACGTCAACTTAATAATTCCCTGGGTCTCGAGATCCATACGCGTTTTTCATTCTCGTTCTTTGTACTTTTATCGTTCTTCGTCGGTCTTCGTTTGTCTCATTTACGGGACGTTCCTGTATGCGCGTGTCGCGTACTTGAAATTACGACTACATTGAAAAGTAAGATGCCGATAGGCGCAAGATCCACGGTAAGAGAATCGAGAAGAAGAAACGTTGATCAACGAAGAAAAATTGATAGAAAAAGGGCGAAATATTGGACAGAGGTAGCGAGAGGAAAAACAATAGAAAGAGAAAATGGGAAAAAGGGAGGGAAGGGACGAAGGAGTAAGAAAGAGAGAGAAAGAGGAGAAATTTATGTAGAGAAGTGATCGATAACGATAGTCGATGTGTAATAATATTTTTCCTATCAAACAAAAGAAAACATCATCAATGTGAAATGCCGGAGAAGAGGAGCTCTCGAGTAAAACTAAAGAGACATTTGAATGTTGTTGTTTCGATTTACAGCTGCTATTGAACAATTTTCAGATTTATCGTAAATTACTTATATGTGTCGATATACAGAGTCGCGTGTCCACGCGTTTTTGTAGATTTTGCCGAGAGACCACTGTACCCACATGTAATACGTATTCAAATCGCTCGAGGCGATGAATCTTGTAAACGGAACAGCCGCGTCTATCATCCGGTAGTAGAGTTCGGTCAGTTAAATGACACGAGAACGCGCCTGCGCACGTGTCTGCAACCCATTTTCGTTTCCTTTATTTCTCATCCGAGTTTTTCCCGACCACCAAGATATATACAAATAATTGAAAGGACACCAGAACTGGCCCACTTTATTTAACGATGCCTCAGGCTTTTTCTAGACAAAGGAGAAACAGGAGCAACTCCCGATCGAACTCGTCGTTTCGACGATTCGTGGGTTTTTCTCGTTCGTATATGAAAAATCGGAAAAAATTTCCAGCTATAATTTCTTTCTTTCTCGTTCGATTTTTGCCGATTTAATCGACTTTGGATAAATGGAAAAACAACTTGCATGCAACTGCGAATCAGGGGATTGGACGCTACGCGACGGTTTTAAGATTCATGAGATACGTTGGATAGACAATCTGGAAAGTTCGATATAGATCGTTTGGGGAACAAAATACCACCGTTCAACGTAATTTTCTGATGCTAACTATCGGATCAAATCAAATTCCAAGGAAATTCGCGACAAAGCAAAGATTTTGAGAGAAGTGATAACGGATCGAAGATGAAGAGAGAAAGGTACGCTTGTAGAAGGGTAGAGTGACAGCGGTGATGGTGTGATGGTGGTGTGGCGGTAGTGGTAGGGGAGTGGGGATGGTGGACGGAGGTGGACGGAAGTGGAGGTGTGGTGGTAGTGGTGGTAGTGGTGGTAGTGGTGGTGATGGTGGTGATGGTGGCGGCGGTAGAGATAGAGGTAGTGGTGGCAGCGATAGCGGGGTGTCGGCTGTGGAGGGGATGGGATGATATGGTGGGAGCGATAGCGGTACGGTGGAGATGGTAACAGGTACAGGCGTAGAGGGTAAGGATACGACACGATGGTAGAGCGGCATAACCAGTGTGGAGAGGGTAGGTCTGGGTTAAAAGAGCAGGAAGGGGAGAGCAAACGGATGATAGAAGGGCAAAAAGGGGTGCGCGCGTTTGATCCCTGGTGCGTAGGAGAAGTTTTCTATGGCGTCCGGAACGGTCCTTGGGTGAGCAGCGAGGTGGCGCCAATGTATCGAAGGCTTGAAAGCATCGATGCGAATGCAACCAGGGCTTTTCCACCCAGGAGGAAAGTTTAGTCTGTGATGCGACGCGGTTGCGGGTAGAAGTGGCGATACACGCGCGTTTTTTCGCGCGAAAGCGATCGCGGTACGTTGCCACTTTCTCTTTCGATCGATGTAAAGCGATATTCTCGCGAGGTGTCCTTCTTTACTATTTACGATTTACGAATTACGGCTCACGACTCGCAGTTCACGATTCACGACTCACTACTTATGGCTTACGGCTTTCAGCCTACGACTTACAATTTTTTCAATTGATCCTACCAGTTTTTGTTTATTCGTCCCGGCTACGAAGCCATTCGATTCGGATTTCCTATATATCACCTCGCGCATTGTTCTACGACAACATGTTTTTATTGTTATCGTCTATTCGTCTGACTTTACCGAGGAATGTAAAAGATTCTAGCAAATGCTTGTTATAGACGAGAAAGCCCAGAAAAGAAGGTCTACATAAAAGGTGTGCGATTTTTTCTCGAGGTCAGTGGGAGTAACGTGGGTGAGAAGGAGCCGCGATAAAATTGGAAAAGCGATAAGCGTATATAATATGTCGCGTGCTCGCTTGGCGATCGTTAATGTTCTATCTTGCATTGTTTCGATCTGTGTTTTTCAAATGCGTCAACTACGTAACAGGTGGCTAACGAGTTTCAAGATTGCACACTAGATGAAACCTTTTATTTTCGTCCAAGTAGGACGATGGCGGCGAAAACGAAAGTAGTAATCATCGATCGATTGTAAATTGTTCGTAATTTGATCTTTTAACGATAATCGATTCCTCGAATTAGATTTGTATACTAAAATCGTTTCAAGTTGATGACGAAATTTTTTCGGAAATTGTTTTCTCGAAACTACGTCGAATCCCGCGGACCGTACAAAATACACATATGTAAATATTTGAAAATTCTGAAATAAAATGATGTTTCAGTAACATCGTATGGTTGATATTATAATTTTGTCCGTTGTTCGTGCAAGCAATGCAAAGTAATTCGATAAATGTATGTAGTAGTTGAAGGGACACTACGTGCATCTAAATTTGAACGTAGTAGGTACCTACATAATTCGTCCAAAGTTATGTCGGAAGAGAGTCGTAAATTCTTCGTAAAATTTCGAAAGGATCGGAGTTTGTCAATTTGTTTGTAAAATTCATAGTCCGCGTGTAGTACAACGACTAGAAACCTGTTGCTTGGATATTCTTCGGCATTGACCGAACCGCATCACGGCCAGGAACTCTTACCTTTGTCGTGCGCGTGCGTTTCGATCGATCGTCTCGTTCGTAATTTTCTTTCGTGCTGAAAGCTCGGAGGACTTTTTGCTACCGACATCTACGACCAGAACAAATCTCTCAGAGAAAAGGAAAAATCTACGATATATGACTGATTTGTTCGCTGTATTAGAACGAAATTATCGTTGTTGTAACGATCCTCATTGTTCGGCGCACGGACGTTCCGAACATTATCTGGAGTCTTGAGTTTGACAGAGAACGAGGGCAAGAGATGAGATGGAGAGGAGACGGGAGGTGAAGGGGATGAGATCGATAGGGCTTGCAGATCGATGGATACGTGTAAATTGTAGTACATACAATTGAAAGCCAGTCTTATCAATAGAATTTGGTGATTGGTGTATAAAAATGGTTTAATCGCGTATGGATGTAAGCGTATGCGTGCCCAGCGAGATGCGCGCGCCGTATCTATCGACCTTCGCAGACATCGTTGCCACGTGCACGATATAATATATCCTTGATTGAGTTCGGAATTTGTCGTCCGGTTCTCGAATATCGATAACGTCGGAGGACTTGGCCCCTGGAACAGTGCGCGAATCGATAACGCGTGACTAATTTCGTGAACGCGTCGCATAATCGTCGCATAATCGTGGCGGCACGGCGGTGTCGTGGTGCTGCTGCAACGTCGTGGTAACCACGATTATGGGGTGATAGCGTTGATTGGCAGTAGACACGATACGTAATAAAAGTAGCGGTAGAGAAGATAACAGTGGTGGCGGTGGCGGTGGCGGTGACTGTGGTGGCGGCAGTGACGTCGGCGATGGCGTGAACAGCGTGGCAGCGGTACCGGCGAATGTAGCTAAGATCGATCGTATCCCCTTCTTTCGACCGTCGCGTCCGTTCTACCGACCAACAGACTGACCGACCGACACGATGGAATATTGGAATATAACCGAACCAATTTCCCAGATTTTTTTCGCGTATACGATCGCCTACTATTATTATCTTTGATCGCCTTTCGGAAATACGGAACTAGGGCTTTCTGCATCGTTTGACTATTGTTCGTTATTTCCCTTCTGATACATTTGCGAAAACGTTGAATATTCGCGATATAGGTACACGACAGCCGCCATTCTCTTTGAAACATTGTTGCTCGAGAAAACTCAGATTCACGCACCACCGCTAAGCAGTTTCTGAAATGACGTCGTGTAGCGATACGAATTGTTTTATGAATGCGAAATATTCACTATTAAGAACTACAAATATTCTTACATGCATCGAATTCGATACCTAAACGTATCGAAATGTTACAATTCTGAAATTAAACGTTTTCGTGTGCTGCTTATTGTGTATTTAGACAAAATTTGTCCAAAGTATCGAAGATCGGATCGGATCGGACCGTGCCAGGTTTTGTGATTCGAAGAGAATAATTCGCTCGAGGAAGTGTATTATCGAGTAAAGAGAAAGAAGAAAGAGATTGCAAAGTTTAGAGGCGGCTAGAGGTTGCACACGCGTATAAATAGGAAAGTACGTTCTTCGTTTTTCGTCTTCTTTCAATGGAATAGATCATAAACTCGATAACAGGAATGTGAACTCTGGTTCTCGCAATAATCGTGGTTAAAGACTCTCTCGGAACGATAAAATCATGTGGGCTGCTGTCACGAGGTCGTTGGAAATACTGGTTGCCTTCTTCGAGTATTACACCACCAGGTAAGGAATGTGTATTAAATCGGCAACGTAAATTAGGAATAAAATTAGCATGATAGCGTGTCCCCCTGAGGCGATTAGCGTAAAGCGTCATCGAATAAGCTTGTCTGAACAATGACTCACAACGTGGGACATTATACCTCTCTCTCTCTCTCTTTCTCTCTCTCTCTTTCTTTCTCTCTCTCTTTCTGTATCTCGCACCTTATATTTTTCGATTGGCTAGCCTCTCTTCTCAAGTTTCTTCTTCTTCGGATTCGTTGCTATTGCGAGTGGCACTGATTGCGCCGCGGTTTCAAACGAAACGTGGAACGTTTGGAACACGACAGCGAAGAAAATATTGTGACGAGAAAGTTCCGAGAGTCCATCGAACCAAAACGAATTCCTTGTGATCGTTTGTTTCGTCGTTCTCTCTTCGAATTTGAGATCGAGATTCAAGATTCAAGACACAAGACTCACCAATTCCTGTTTTCGCTTCTTTTGTTTCATGCGTCCTTTCGGGGTTACTATTGGGATCCAGAGCGCAATTGGAGTAAGTATACCACGAGTTGGTAAATAGCAAAAACTTTTAATCTATCTTCTCTCGTACTGCTTCACTTGACTCTTCTATCTTCTCTTTCAATTCTCCTTCCTAATGGAACGAAATGTCTCATTCGCGGATGGGTGCTGCTTTATCTGCGTAAGTAGTTGAATTGAATTCAATTCTTCGATTCTACATTTCCATTTCTCCCGTTTCAAGTTTCGTTCTAAACATTAGCTTATTTCTCCTTTTTCCCTGATCTTAACATGCGCGATCTCCCAACAATTTTTGCACCGAATTCAACTGCAACAAACTCTGTTACTTTTCTATTCGTAGTATCCTTTCTCAACGCTCGACTCTCCCTGATTTTCCTTTTGAACGAATTTCAAGTGAAACTACCGATTCGGCGTTGTGCAGAGGAAAAGAAAAAAGGGGGAAAGAGAGAAAGAGAGAGAGAGGGAGAGAGAGAGAGAGAGAGAGAGAGAGGGAGAGAGATTTATAAAACAAGAAAATCAGGGCAAATTTGGCATTGCGCATCCCAATTAATCGAATCGCACGTGCTTTTATGCGTTTTCACGGCTGTCGATCAAACTTGAATGTCTAGAGTTTAAAAGACTAGGTCTAGATTCTAGATGGTAGCCCGAATAGCTCGATACATCGAAGGACGAGCATAGACAGCCGTTGCACCATAGCTACGTATACATATACATACGTATGTGTAGGATAATACGTTAGATAGGTAGATAGAACATAGAACCCCTGACTATGAGTCGTCGTTCACCGTAGTTTGTAGTGTGATGATGGTCGCTTTTGACGACGCACAATCTAATCGCGACTGCTTTAGCTACGCCAAAATATGTAGTTGAAACTGTATGCGCTTTAGTTTTGATCCTTGTTAATAAATGCACGTGAAAGGAAATCGGGATGACGCGAGATTTTTGGCGGATGATGAAAGATGAACGAGATCGAAACGTGAACCACGGTAATGATAAGACAATTACGATGACGCAACGAGGACGAGAACGATAAAAATGAGCCAGGCGGGGTACGCGATCGGATGAAATGGTGCGATAGAGATTTGAAAAGAGGGTCGATTGCCGTAGGACAACCGATAGCCCGGCGAACAAACCAACAACATCGACAAGTGGAAGCGGAGCGGCGGGAACTAGCGGTTCGAGCGGTTTGACGACGAGCGGGGCAACCGCGGGAGCTAGCGGATCGGGATCTGGCGTAGGAGCCGCGTCTGGTATCGGAAATGCGAACGCAGGAACGAGCGGCGCCGGGGCGAACGCGGTTTCCCTCGGCGGCACTAGTAGCGG